CATTCCTCTCCACTGTCAGATGATAGATCGTAACATGCCTGACATGGTTTCCTTCCCTGCAGGCGGGGTTTAATAAACTCAGGGAAACAAGTCTCATCAGCATTAACATAAGCAGTCTTATTTTCAGCCTCATGAATGCTATGCTGAACTGTACCACTCTCATGTGGACAAGAACAGCGACTAATTGGTGACATATATTGTGACATTGGTTTAGCCGTTAGATCTTTATACACAGCTTGTGGGTAGTAGTTCAGATTTGCCGGCGTGCTCTGTATGAAACATGGTGTATCAATTCCACTGCCATATGTGAATTCACTTTCCACAACACTTTTGAAAGGGTTGGTTTCCCTAATTGTTTGTGGTGATATTTGTGGGTCATCACAACATGTAGGTCTGTTAACTGTAGCTGATTGAGGGCGAGGAGCAAAACTTTGCTTGAACGGATTATTTTTACTTTCATTTTTGGACACTTGAACATCCAACTCATTTAACCAATCCGCGAATGAGATGTGCGTCCGTTTTTCCACATTCTCCGCCATTACAGACATAGCAGAGTTGAAATGACTGCTCTTATTTGTATCAGAGTATTTTCTCGTCATCCTCGCTCTCTCACGATCATCCGTCATATTGCGCGCTCTCTCTCTCTGATAACATCTACTTCAGTTTACCATTCAGAATGTCCATATAACTCACCAAATGCGACGAACAAGATCGCGGACGAGCCCCCAGTGTTACCTTTCCTCTTCGGCGCTTACCGTCTCAGCAGCCGTATGTGTGTGCGTAACATTTCACTAGTTACTCAAGTCCGTGCAAATGATGAGTTAGACGAAGTATCCTGATTATACTGCTTTATTGCTCTCTTCGGCATGCCTCCACATGACTTTCAAATGTATTTTCGTAATAGTCTCATTTTCCACTAGATATTTTCCTCTATATATCATCAGCAATTTCGATTTCGGCAGCTCTGCAGCAGCGGAGCACTAAGAGCGAATGTACAGTGACGTGACATCACTGCCAGATTCAAACTGCTTTCGCACTATTATGGCTGGCGCTGAGCCAAAGACGGACACGCTCAGCGCTTGTCATAGGCTATATTACAACTGTTCAGTGTTTTTAACCACATAATGTTTATTTTAGGTTTCAGACATTTAAATACATATAATTTATAGCAAAACAATACATTTATAGTTTGTAAAATACAGTGTCTATGGAAGCAGCAATAACAACCCATTCAAATATATTTGACGACGGTTTTTATTCATATCAGAGAGACACAGTGTAAATAACTATAAAGTCAACTCTATTTTTCTCCCAGTTCACCGGCCACTTAGTTTCATTGTATTTCGGGAGAAACTGGTGAATTCACGCGCTGTAATAAATCCAACAGACAGAAATCTCTGAACTGCGGTCCAAACACGGCGCCCATCTCACGTTACAGATCAAGATAATTTATAGTTTTTTTAAATGACAAAAACTCACTTACACATATTTGAGAATCGGAATAGAAGATAGTTCATGACATGGTAAGCAAGTTTGTTAATATTTAGAAATAAAAGCGCTAAATCTGTCATACAGCGCTATTTTGGCTGTGGTGAATCACGTGCCAAGCATGACGCGTCACCATGGAAACAGGGGACACACGATGTTTAGCCGATGCCGTCTAAACATCGTGATGTCTGTCAGCCATCACGATGGACGATGATATCGTCCATTGGCCCAACCCTAACCTAGAGCGTGCAAGGCAGTTTTCTTGTAGGCTATTTCTCAAACGAAAGCAAGAGCACCACAGCGATGCTGTATCATTTTGGCAAACGCTCCACCAGGTATGTATGTGTGCGCGGTGGAGAACGTCAGCATTTGCAGCTGTTGCGCGTTTGCAGCGGTGGGCATTTCGATCATGGACATGTTGTTGATCATGTGTGGTGGCCATCAGAGGTGTTTATTATCAGTCAGAATCACTCACTACTTGAAACTAGCGACCAGCACGCAGAGGACAGCGCCTGAAGAAGCCGGCCGTCTTCGCCGCCTTCAGCCTTCCGTGCCTGCTACGCCATCTGGCGTCGAGTATCCATTTTGATTAGTGCTATTTGCCTCTGTGAGTGTTCGCCGCCACGACACTCACTCTTCTCTAAAAGAGCGCGAGCATTTTTATAAAAATGCCTCGCCTTTCCTGTGGCTCGTGCAGAGCCCCGCTCAGCGCCAGAGACCGCCACCTGATTTGCGCTCTCTGCCTGGGCCCAGACCACGCAGCCCTCGCCCTGGATTCGGGAGGCTGCGTGCACTGTGAAGCGCTTCCGTTGTCGACCCTGCGGGCTCGACTCGAAGCCTTCACCACGGTCGCTGTCGCTCTGCCCTCCGGACCGCGCAAGAAGCAGCGCCGTTCGCAGAGGATACCGGAGAGATACCGCCGCCTCACGGGACGAAGCTGAAGGAATCGACTTGGGTGACAGCTGTTCCATCCTGGCATCAGACAGTGAGGAGTGGTCGAGTTCTCATCACTCCGCCTCCTCCTCGATCCAGGAATCCAGCAGGACTCGGGCTGGCATGGACGCTGAGCTCTTGCACCTCCTGTCGAAGGCCGTCGACCATCTCAGCCTGGATTGGTCACCGCCTAAGGAGCCCGCGGCCAAGAGGCTTGACGGCTGTTTCCTCCACAGCCGCCGCCCACCGCCCGTTTCCAGATCTGCACCATTTCTGCCAGAGCTTCACACTGAGCTCTCGAAATCGTGGAGCGCACCATTCTCCGCGAGGCTCCTCGGCGCTCTCCCAAGTGGACGGCGCCGCCGAGAAAGGGTACAAAGCAATCCCCCCAGTGGAGGAGGCGGTCGCAGCGCACCTTTGCCCGCCCTCTGCGAGATGGCGCTCAAAGTCTGCTCTCCCGTCCAGCCGCCCCAGGCCACCTCCCCCCGGGGACCCCGGCCCAGGATTGCGCTGAAGCCCGAGCATGCGAAACCCTCCTAGCAACAGCGGAGAGGAAAAGACGGCTGGGTCTCGCTGCGGCCGGACCGCCGTCAAAATATCTCGTCCTGTCAGTCCCCTCAGAGAAGGCTACCGAAAGGTCCCGAAAGGTCATCTCGACGGACGCCTCCAACCTAGGTTGGGGCGCCCTCTTCGAGGGCAGACCGGTCTTTGGCATGTGGTCAGACCAAGAGAGACGTTTCTACATAAACTGTCTGGAAATGATAGCGGTCGAGAACGCGCTCAGGCGCTTCCTCCCGTTCATACGGGACCATCATGTGCTAGTGCGCTCGGACAACATGTCTGTGGTGTCCTACATAAACCGCCAGGGCGGTGTCAGATCCAGAAGTCTCTGCCATCTGACAGAACGCCTTCTCGTTTGGTCTCAGCACCTCCTGCGCTCGCTGAGAGCTGCGCATGTGCCAGGCCACCTAAACGAGCTATCCAGGGACCACGTTCCCCCAGGGGAATGGTCCCTGCACCCCCAGACAGTACAGTTACTGTGGCGCCTTTTTGGCAAAGCGAAAGTCGACCTGTTTGCGTCAAAAGACAACACTCATTGCCCGCTGTTCTTTTCAAAGAACGAGGATGCGCTGGCCCAAACCTGGCCCAGCCTCCCTCTTTATGCTTTCCCTCTGGTCTCTCTGTTACCACAGGTAATCAAGAGGATCAGGGAAACGCGCCACACGATGCTCCTTATAGCCCCGTGATGGAAGAATCAAATCTGGTTCCCGGATGATTCTGGATTCTGGTTCTCAATCCCCATCCAGAGCGCTGGTCTCTGCACGTATGGGTAATCAACGGATACCCGTTGTCTTGCCAGAAGGAGTGATGAACACGATTACACAATCCAGAGCTCCCTCTACGAGGCGGCTTTACGCGTCTAAATGGTCGGTGTTCTCCAAATGGTGTGCCGATAGAGATCTAGACCCACGAATATGTGGGGTCCCGTGGTTGCTTGGCTTCCTTCAAGAGCTGTTGGATAAGGGCAGATCCCCATCCACGCTTGAAGTATATGTGGCGGCCGTTGCAGCGTTCACTGAGTCGCCGCACGGTCAGTTAATAGGAAGAAACAAGCTCGTCATCCACTTCCTTAGAGGAGCCAGAAGGATGAACCCCCCGCGACCCCCGTCGGTTCCCATGTGGGATCTTTCATTGGTCCTAGAGGCCCTGAAAGCTTTCCCCTTTGGACCAAAAGTATCTCTCGCTCAAAGCCGTTTTTCTGACAGCTCTGTCATCAGTTAAACGCGTAGGGGATTTACACGCGCTATCTGTTAGCGCTGCGTGTCTTGAGTTTGGGCCAAATGACTCCAAAGTCATCCTCAAGCCAAGGCAGGCCCACAGTGAGGGCGATAATCTCCTCTCCCCTGTCAGGGCGCTGAGGGCTTACATTACGCGCTCCGCCCCTTTCAGGCGTTCGGAACAGCTTTTTGTTTCGTTTGGTGGGCGCACCAAGGATCTCGCTGCCTCGAAACAGAGCCTGTCTAGATGGATAGTGGAAGCTATCGCATCTGCTTATAGTTGTAAGGGTCTGCAATGCCCCCTGGGCATCAGGGCGCATTGGGGGATCGCAGATCTGCTGGGGGTGGGGGATTTTCTGACGTACAGTACACTCGGCTTGTATTGTTTTGTCAAATACCATGTCACCTGCTCTGTTGGAGGGTAATTCATGTACGCTATATTGTACAACAGCAGCATGTCTTACTTGCTCACAGCAGCGTGTCGTGTATGTATTGGCAGTAGCAAGTCCCGTACTTGCTCTGCCGAAGCAGCACCAATAACCTCCTGCAGCAGCAGCGTAGCAGATCTATTCCGCCAAGACCAAACATACAACATTGTCATACCCATTGCCATGCCAATCACTCCTAAAGTTGTCATGACTAAAAATGTACAAATCTAGGGTCAGTGCTGTGTTCCCTGATCCAACAGGTTTTTGGTCTCTAATATCTTTGGTTGGTCCTACAGTGCACTCCTGTGTTTTGTTTAATCATTCTAGACCATTCCGATTGTAGATATGAATGTAAATGTTACTATAATCTGAGTTTTTGTTTAAGACGATCTGTGTTTTTATTAACAATATGTGTGCAATTCAATAGACATTTTCACTGAAAGGACAAATCATTCCACATGAAATAAGCTAAGTGTGCATGTCTTATTGTAAGAAGATAAAAAAAATAGTAATTGCAGGAAAATGCAAGTTAAATGACTAATCCTTGCATACAGACTTTGTGGACTGTTTCTTCCTCTATATCCTAGGAATGGCATAGCACTCGTATGTGCGGGGTATGCGGCTAAAACTGCAATTTGTAGGCGTTGTGTCGAGCTCCTCTGGTGGCACCATGGCTTTGAAGGTGAAGTGCTGAAGGAGGGAAGTGAAGAAGAGGAAGAGTTCTGTGCGAGCCAGAGCCTCACCGAGACACACGCGCTTGCCTGTCAAGAGAGCACACAGAAGTTGGTTTAAAAATCTTTTTAAGAATCTTTTCCCTATGTATCATCCATTTTTGTCTGCGATTTGTTCTTTAAAGGCAACTACTGAGGAATCAATTATTTAACATGGTTATTGTTTGTCCCAGAATGACTAAAACACTGATAAACATAATTATTTAGCCTGTGTTGACTTCAGTCAGAGACTATTTATATAGAGACATGCCACTTACTCAATCCTCAATACAACTATATAGGGAAAACCCGTAACGCCAAAGATGGCGGTTGTATGCACATGTCCCGCCCCTCCCGCTGGAAAGCCAATCGTCTGCCTTTAACAGTCAAGCCGGGAAACATTTAAGCCTATCGTCTGGTTCCACTGACGCATGCGCACAGTTGAGGTTTGCGACAGTGGAAAATACGTTACTGTTTGAAAAGGCGGCAGATTTGATATGCAGTGTATGTGTGCGTTGTGTAAATATCAGACATCCCAAGTGTCTACCGCATATTTATAGCGGCTCCCTGATGCCCAAAATTAGTTCAAATCTCCCGGAAACTAGAGCGACCGAGCGAGAGCTCACACATACTGTGTTTCAAACCGTGCAGCGCGCGCACGTCAGAGGGAGAGAACCCTTGCGCATGCGTAGTAAAGTATAACCTGTGGGGGAAAAGGCGTTTTAAACCTTATTTTGGGGCAAAGTTATCAAACTTTTTCAGCGATTTTTATCATATTTTACTGCTGTTTCTATACATGCAGTTTTTATGTCCCGGTGACCAGTGAAAGTGCAGTTCTGACTCTCTGCCCATTCATTTAGATAGGAGCCTGGTCTTGTTAGTCCGAAATAGCTGCCCGGAGGCGTTGCCAAGATGGCGGCCGAGTGGCATGACTTGCCTAAAATGACTTTGCTTCAGTTTTCATCTAAGAGCAACATTTTTATGGTCTAATATGCACAATGAAGATCTGAGCTCACCCATGCTGAATACAACAAATGCATCATTCTTCTTGAATCGGCCATCTCCATCCAGGAAGTTTTCTGGATCGAAACAATTTGGGTTCTTCCACAGTTTGGGGTCTATAAGCACGGAGGATAGTAGTGGAATAACCATTGTTCCCTTCAACAAATAAATAGAAAGATGTAAATAATAATAAGCACATTTAATGAATCAAGATGATGTATGAGAGAAGAATACCTTAGGAATGACATAGCCATTATATTCAGTGTCGCACATGGTCTTGTGTGGGATAGCGATGGGGGCGAGATCCATGCTGCGCTGGACATCGTGAATTACAGCATCTGTATATGGCAGCCTCTGTCTGTCTTCAATGGAGGGCCAACGGTCCTGTCCTACAACCTCATCAATTTCTTTCTGAACACGCTCTGTACAGAACAAGTGAAAGTAAAATCACACTTTATGCTTGGAGAGAGAAGCATTAGTTTGACCTCACCTTGAACATCTGGGTGCTTCATCATTAGAAGTAAAGAGTGTCTGAGGGTGGATGAAGTGGTTTCTGTGCCGGCGCTGAACAAGTTCCATAGTAAAGAAACCAAGTTGTCAAAATGATATTCTGTGTCAGGCTTGTCTTTCTCCTGCAAAAGAGAACAGGTATGAAATGTTAACACTGTTTAATTGACATCATGTCATGGTCTCACCACCAGATGGTGCAAGTAAATGTATTCAGGACCATGGCTAAATATGTATAAAGGGTTAGGTCACCCCAAAATGAAAATTTTCAAAATGAAAATCCGAGTGACTACAGTGGCTCAATCTTAAGTTTATCAAGCGAAGAGAATACTTTTTGTGCTCAAAAAACAAACAAAAATAACGACTTAATTCAACTATTCATTTCCTTCTCTGTTGGCCTCGAGATTTCACGTAGTGAAACTGCGCAAAGCTTCTAGGTTGTACGTCACACGCATCACACACATGACCAGCGTCGGCCAATAGTGAGCCTACGTGTGTCGTAGAACACAGAAGCGCGGCGCTGTTCCACTACTTGAAATCTCGAGGCCAACAGAGAAGGAAATGAATACCCTTACGAAAGGAAAATATATTTACCAAAATATTACTTGAAATATATTGTAATATTTTATTTTCCAATATATTATATATTGGAAATACATGGAATAATATATTAATGATAAATATATTATACAATATATTATATATTCATGTAATATATTGCAATATATTGCAAAATATACAAATGATTGCCGTTTTCCATATATTGCAATATATTGAGCATGAATATATAATATGTGTTTATATATCGTAAAATATATGCAATTTTATATTTATAAATATCCAAATGTATTCCGATTTATATGGCAAAATGTATTGATAATATATGTAAAGATATAGTGTCACATGTATGTTTAATATATGGTAGAATATATTTTAAATATATGTAAAATTATATGGAAATATATGTACATATATATTGTAAAATGTATGCACAATATATGTGTACATATATGTGAATATGCACATATAATGTATGTACATATATGGAGATATATACATGTAACATCTAAAATATATGAATACTTAATAAATATGCAACCTGCAATAAATGTGCAAACCTTTAAACCACTTAATATTGTGCTCAAAGTAATTATTATTCAAATATAGTAATTATAGTCTACTCTTAATAGTCTTAAGCCAATCATCAACATAACCACAGGCTCTACTCTTCAGCACAATGGTGACCCCAAAAACTCAGACATACCAGAAAACATTTTAAATTCCAAAATAATAGAACATGAAACACTAACAGATCTCCCACTATATTAATATTGAGCAAAACACATTAAATAACACTTAATTTTAACATTTGCTCTCCTTTACCATTCAGAAGCAAAGCATGCTGGGAACTAGAAATATGTTGTAACTCATTTCATGAATGTGAATATACATTAACATGTATATGGGAACATGTATGTGCAATAATGTACACAATAAAGGATAAAACTGTGAATATTACATGTAATACTATTTTTGTTTTCATTAATAAATATTTTATATGTATTAATACATAGCCATACATGATCAATGCATTTATTGCAGTATACAAACTATTATATTATCTGCCCCTAAACTTTGGAATGATCTGCCTTTCCATGTTAAGCAGGCCTCTTCTTTATCTGTTTTTAAAACCCATCTTAAAACCCATCTTTACTCTTTGGCTTTTGACACTTAGTAAGATGTCGACTCCATTTATTTGATTTTATTTGTTAGTTTGAATGTTTTTTATTGTATGGTTATTAATTGTACAAATGTTTATGTTTTCTGTACAGCACTTTGGTCAACTTTGGTTGTTGTAAAGTGCTTAACAAATAAAGTTGGTATGGTATGGTATGGTATATGTAAAAAATATAGTGACTTTTTTGGTCTTGATTGCAATATATTTGTTTTATATGTATCGATATATATACATATATATGGTCTATGCATATATTGCAATATATTGGAAAATATAAATATTAAATCCCATATATGGAAATATATTGCCTAATATATCACATGATATTTTCCAATATACTGCAATATATTTTTGTTTCGGAAGGGTAGTTGAATAAAGTTGTTATTTTTGTTTGTTTTTTGCGCACAAAAAGTACTCTCGTCGCTTGATAAACTTAAGATTGAGCCACTGTAGTCACTTGGACTATTTTAATGATGTCTTTAATAACTTTTCTGGGCCGGCAAGTTTCGATCCCTTAAGAAGCCTATGGAGGAGTGAGCCAGCTCTCAGATTTAATAAAAAATATCTTAATTTGTGTTCCGAAGATGAACGAAAGTCTTACGGGGTTGGAACAACATGAGGGTGAGTAATTACTGACAGAATTTCATGTTGGGTGAACTAACCCTTTAAATTACCATTTCTTTCAATGATTTACCTCTTTCATTTTTAACACAAAGGCCTCAATGAAGTCCTGTGGGCAAGAGGGATCCCCATTATTCATCCGAGCTTGTGCCTCACGCTTGAAGTACTCTCTGGCCTCTTCTAGGTCTTTAAACAGCTGATGGTGTTTACCGGGGAAGAGACTGATTAACTTCGGGAATACATTATAGAGCTGAGAAGAAAATAAAGAAACATCAAGTTGAGTCTCAAAATACAATAAATAATTTATGCAAACATGTTTTTTTATTTTTTTTATTACTATTTTACAGTTTAAAATTTGTTTAATTTTTATTTATTTAATGTGCACGACCCTTCACCTGTTTTGGGTCAGTAAGATTTTTCTCTTTTTTGAAATAAATGTATAATTGTATCCAGCAAGAATGCATTAAATTCATCAAAAGTGACAGTAAAGACGTTTATAAAGTTTCAAAAGATTTCCATTTCAAATAAATGCTGTTCTTTTAAACTTTATATTGATTTAAGAATCATGAAAAACAAATGTATCACGGTGTCCTCAAAAACATTAAGCAACTGTGAAAATAATAATAAATGTTTCTTGAAGAGCAAATCAGCATATCAGAATGATTTCTGAAAGATCATGTGACACTGAAGACTGGAGTAATGATGCTGAAAATTCAGTTTTGCATCACAGGAACAAATTATATTTGAAAATACATTAAAATAGAACAAAAAATATATTAAAAGAACTATTTTGATAGTTCACAATATTACTGTTTTCACTGTATTTTTTATAAAATAAATGCAGCCTTTATGAGCATAAAAGACTTCTGAACGATATCTTATATAAATATAAATCTTTAGAGTGCAAACCTGTCCAAGAGGGCTACTGAGGATTCTGAAGTAAGTATTTACTGTCTGAAGGAGAAACTTAAACTGTGGATCCTCAAATTCAAACCTATGACCAAAGACAATGCTGCAGATCACATTAGTCACGGCATTAGACAGCATGTCTGCAGGGCTGATTGCAGAGCCTTTAAGAAGAAAAGAAGAGCAAAGAGATCAGGTTTCTTCAATTAAATGTTTTGTAAAAACACCTCTGTAACATGAAATGACACATTATAGTCCTTTTTTGTTTTATTGACACTCTTTGTCAGATGTTTTTGTAGTTTATGTCTGCAGTTTGTTTCATCTGATAATCTGAATATAAGATTGTATAAAAATGATTTAACCTTCAAATTTTTTCATCATTTCCACAAGATATTCAGCCTCCTTCCTGATTCGTTCCTCGATGCTCCTGCGGCCCATTCCAAAGTTCTTCAGTGTCATGAGAGAGAATTTGCGCATCTCCTTCCATCTGTGTCCACTGGTGGACAGAACACCTGCGCATAGAGAAAATGTTTCTGGTCTACTACGTGTATATATACAGTGTTTAGCATAAGTGAACACACCCATGCTAAAGTTGACTAAAGAGAGGAATAAAAAATCATCTTCTGGAAATTGATCTTAATGCCTAGGCTTCCAAAAAAATTAGGAAAAATCCAACCTTTAAGGACACCAATTTTCTTTGTGATTGAATAATGTATCGTAAATAAATAAATGTTCTTCCTTAAAATACAGGGAGCATAAGTCAGGACACCCCTATGTTAAATTAAATCCATAGAGGCAGGCAGATTTTTCATGGATTTCATGGATACAGGATTCTATGCATCCTAATATGCATTCGTCTCGGCCTTATGTCTTCGTCTCGGCCGTCCAAGGGTCCACGGTCGCCCGACGGGTCCTCACCGCCGTGGTCGCCCAAAGGGTCCTCACCGCTGTGGACGCCCGAGGGTCTAACAGCTCTGCCCTGGACGCCCGAGGGTTCGTCTGCTCCACCCTGGCCACGTCCTGCTCCGCCCTGGCCACGCCTAGGTCCTGCTTCGCCCTGGCCGCCTGCATGTCCACCACGGCCACTTGCTCGTCCTGCTCCGCCTGGACCATCCTGGAGTCCGTCCAGTTGCACCAGGTCCACCTTCCCGTCACGGACTCCAGGATGCCCATCCCCCCCCCCCCCCCCCCTCCCCCTCCCCCTCCCCCTCCCCCTCCCCCTCCCCCCCCCCCCTCCCCCTCCCGTGTTCTGCCTTGTAGGGTGTGGGTCGCGCCTAGCGGGAGGGGGGAGTTATGTCACATTCACCTCCTTCATCTGTGTCTTCACTACACTTCCCAGCATTCCCGGTCATCACCTGCACCTCATCATCCTCATCATGATCACCGTCACCTGTGTCCCATCACCAGCATGGACTATAAAACACTCACTCTCCCTGCAGTCACTGTCTGGTCTCGAATAATCCTTGACGTCCTGACTCCCGCTACTACTCTCAAGATACTTACCAGCCTGATACTCACCTGTTCCATGAAGATTCCCGCCTGCCTTCTGATCCTTTTGCCTTCTCCTGATCAGCGTTCTTCGTCCTAGTTCACCACCAACCCGTCTGCAACAGATAAGAGACTTTATCTAACCAGATCAAGACGAACTATTCAGACTGCTATCATTTAATGCTTACCTGCTGATTTATTCACGACGTTAATAAATACTTCACTTGCACAAGACCTGTCTGTTTCCTCTCAATCTGTGACACAACCATAAAAAGCTCCAAGCAATATACTTCCACTCACGATATAGCATTAACTATCAATAACTTTAGCATGGGTGTGTAAAACATTGGGCATCAAGCAACCTCACCATATCCAAGTGTGGCCTTCATGATCAAGGGATAGTTGTCCCTGCCACTGAATTCTTCACCAAGACCAATCATAGTTTCCTTTAGGGCTTCATATCCAGAAATGATCACTACAGGAGTGTTTGCCAACCAGATGGTGACAACAGAGCCATACTTCTCACTGAGCTACGGGAAGAAAAGATATATGGTTTGGAATGGGACGTTCAATGTTAAAGGCTGTGTATTCAAATGACACTTCAAATGAGCTCTAACCTCAAATGTAGTTAACATAATTCTGCTTTACTGGGGTCAAAAACAATGTAAATTAGTGCATTGTTCTTTGATAATGATTTTGATTGTAGTGCAAGTTTGGATACAGATATCGCTGAAGTGCTACAAACAGCAATTCAGTGTTTGAAAAAGTGAAAATAATCTTACAGGGAGCTACTTTCAGCCCTCTTAAACTTCTCTAGGGGTTCAGAAATCCCTGAATAGTGACGCTCACCTAGTAACGGTGGAGCAGATGCACCTCACAAAGCCTGTAAAAAAACTACATTGTAATTTGTTTATTTAGCTGTATATAGCTAGATATGTAAGATAAACCTCTCACGCTGACTTTTCTGAACCCTATAGGGCTAGGCTGCAAGGGGGAGAGGGGAGAAGCTGTTCTTGTTCCCTCTGTTTGAATGTAGCCTACTCTCCATGTATGTATGTGTGTTTCTTGGAAAGCAGCCCAGATATGGGTACCAGGCAAATATAGGTGAAAGTTGCAATAGATTAACTTGTTTTTCTCTTTGTATATTCTCGTCATTGGACGGTAGCTACACCACCCCTGAAACATGTATAAATGCTAATGTACGAAAGTAAAGCTGAAGAGAGGTTTTGTGAACATAGATTGGCTCCATGTTCATAACTCTTCCCATTTGACAGTGTCAATGCGTGAAAAAGGAGACTGAGAATAAAGCATAGAGTTATAATATAACTATCTTTTTTATTTTACAGTACAAACAGTTTTATTATAGTACACAGAGGCAGCGATCGCGGATAGTCTGTGGCAAAGGCCACAAACAGTGTCACCAACAGCGGCATCTGCCGCGATTTCAGCCTGCCTTTACTGAGGTTCTTTGAAGAACACAAAATGGTTCTTCTTGGAATTGCTGCGAAAGCCCCTATTTTTTAAACCTTTATTTTGAAGAGTGTATCAACGATTTCAGGTGAATGTATATTTGTATTTATATTATACTTTTATTTTATTCATTACGTTTTTGTATTCTGTGCACTTAATGGTTAACTAGTTTACCTGCACAGGTGTTAGTAACACTACAGGCTACCTGCACATCTTATTGTAAGCCTTGAACACAATCATACAAGCAGCCAATTATATGATTGAATTATGTTAATGAATAGGCCTACTAACCTCTAGGTAATATTTTTAGACTTCCTTGACATTAAAGGGTTAGTTCACCCCAAAATGAAAATTCTGTCAGTAATTACTCACCCTCATGTTGTTCCAACCCCGTAAGACTTATGTTCATCTTCGGAACACAAATTAAGATATTTTTGATTAAATCTGAGAGTTGGATCACTCTAGGCTTCTAAGGGATTGAAACTTGCCGCCCCGGAAAAGTTAAAGACATCGTTAAAATAGTCCAAGTGATTACAGTGGCTCAATCTTAAGTTTATCAAGCGACGAGAATACTTTTTGTGCGCAAAAAAAAAAAAAAAAACGACTTTGTTCAACTATTAATTTCCTTCTCTGTGGGCCTCGAGATTTCACGTAGTGTAATACCGCAGTGCTTCTAGGTTGTACGTCACACGCATCACACACACATGACCAGCGTTGGCCAATAGTGAGTGTGACGTACAACACAAGCGCTGCGCTGTTAAACTACCTGAACTAACTCAGATTTTTTGTACTGTCCCTATACAAATAAACTTATAAATTTAAAGTAGATTGCTTGCTTGGAGCTTTTTACAACGGGTAGCTAGCAAGCAAATTTACCCAAATAAAATGTTTAAAAAAACTGCTAGTTTACAACAATCCGCTTGCATTCGTTTGCTGGTGATCTTTGTCAGTTTTTTTTTCCGGCAGTAGTAGATTTTAGAAAATCAGGTTAAAGAGGTTGAAAAACACCATATTCCTGTTTTAAAGGAAACACTCTTTTTTATTCCGCAGAGTCCTCACTGACTTGTCGAAGTTTGCAGAGGATTGCCGATGACTTGGCAGAAGGTCAGAACCATAACAGGAGACAAGAGAGAGCGCTCAAAAATGCAGTGTCACTAGCAAGACTTCTTAACAAGTGAGTGAACATACAGGGCTTAAATAGGCAGGGTTTATCCAGATAATACAACATGGAAGTGACAAACAATAATGAATCCAGGCAATGGGTAATGGGAATGAAAGTTCATCATGGGAAAGCAAGGGAATCGGGAGGAGAATATTATGTCAGTTTAATGATGTAATCCTTCAAAGTCTACAGTAAAGAAAAATGCCCTCAATGCTGTAGTGTGAAATATTTTAGTTAGTTTTGAATTCTGTGCACTTAACTCGTTTACCTGCATAGGTCTTGTCACAAATACAGTTCCTGTACATCCTTGTAAGTCCTGAAAACAACCATCCAAGCACAAACAGCTGCTAATTAACAGAATTATATTATTTTGAATACTGACCTTTAGGTAAAACTTGTATGGTTCCTTGACATCAAACTGAAGTAAATTTCCCAGCAGTGGATTCAGAGCGGGTCCCGGAGGCAGCCGCCCAAACTGCTTTCTTTGACTCTTCCACAGCAATAACGGAAGCAAGACAGCTATGACAACAAATAATACATTTGCCAATGTCAGTGTTGTATCCATCTTGCAACTGATGTGAGTGAAGACAAAGTGTCTGCTCTGTGACAAATGACAGGCTGTCCACTTCTGACTGTTAATCTTCACACAAACACTCACTTTAAAGTCTGGTGATGTTTTGCAGGAACACTCTGAACTCTGTGTCCACAATTGGTATTGGTATTGTGCCAATTGTGTCACACAATTGGCACAATTGGTAAAAATTGACCATGGTTTCCATGGTCAATTTTTCAAAGAGAGTGAATACAAGAACCATTACATAGATTACCCATAATAGGGTACCATGGGGTAAGATCTTGGTTTCATTAACATCTGAGCTTTATTAACATCAAAGCTTTTGACTGTACACAGGAACAAAATGTGACTACTCATCAAACATAGTTCAGAGACTGATCAGTATAGGTATTTCCAACACATTCTCGTCCTTCGGCGTCATATAGGTGACGCCATATGACATTTCGTCGAAATCTTGCGCACATGGCATCCTTTAGCGTCAATATAACACGCACTGTTATGGGTAGGTTTTGGTCTGGGGTAGGGTTACGGTTATGACGCCTTGGGATCTGCGTCTCATATTGACGCTAAAGGATGCCATGTGCATCGGATTTAGACGAGCGTCACCTGTATGACGCCTTGGGTTCTGCGTCTCATATTGACGCTAAAGGATGCCATGTGCGTAAGATTTCGACGAAATGTCCAAAGCGTCACATGTATGACGCCTTGGGATGAGAACGGGCTGGTATTTCTCAGCACTCTGTGGGCTGGTTTATCAACTACCTCGCTGATAGGACTCAAGCTACGCAAGTTGATGGCCTAACGTCAAAATATTTATCAATCTGTAAAGGGGTCCCACAGGGCTCCATTCTGGGGCCACTTTTATTCACTATTTATATTAACTGTCTGGGGGAAAATGTCCAACATGCATTTTTCCATTTTTATGCAGATGATATGGTTATTTATTGTTGTGCAGCTACAATTAGGAAGGCGTATGAATGCTTGCAAACTGCTTTCGATATGGTGCAAGCACAGCTTTATCAATTAAAGCTTTTGCTTAATGCAGAGAAGACCAAAGTAATGGTTTTTTCAAACCTGAATATTGTTACTGATCAGGGTAAAACAATTGAGGTAGTTTCATCTTATAAATATTTAGGATTTTTAATTGATGATCCCCTTTCTTTTAAGCTTCATACAGAATCTAGTAAAAAAGTTGAAATTGAAGCTAGATTTTTTCTTTAGGAACAAACCTTGTTTTACTTTTTCTGCTAGAAAAAGGCCAGTCGATGCCACATTTCTCTTTATTATTGATTATGGTGATCTGTTGTATATGAATGCACCATCGAAGTATCTTCAGATGTTAGATGGTGTGTTTCATGGAGCTTTAAGATTTATTTCTAATTGCAGATCCCTCACTCATCACTGTACACTTTACTCTACAGTGAATTTGCCTTCTCTGTCAAATCGCCGGCTTACTCACCTTTATATCTTTATATATAAGGGCATTATAGGCAGGCTACCATGTTACATATCTGAATTTCTTTCTTTTGCTCAGAGCACCTATGGTTTACGGTCCCAGAAAACTATTTCATTGAATGTACCTCAAGCCCGGACAGAGTTGTTCAAAAAGGCTTTCATGTTTTTTTGCACCTTCTACTTGGAATGATCTACAGAAAACACTTAAACTACAGTGTCTAATTTCCTTAAATGATTTTAAAGGTTATGTTAACTATAGAACATGAATCCATCCACACGTGCAAATGTTTTAATTAATGGCACTTTTATTTTAATTGAAATGTACTTGAGTTGTCTTTGCCTCTTTTGTGTTTGTTTTGCGATTGTGTTTGTTTTGTGATTGTGTGATCTAATTTGTTCTGCTATCTTGGCCAGGTCTCTCTTGAAAAAGAGATTTTATATCTCAATGAGACAAACCTTACGGCCCTACTTAGTTTAGTGGCACGCATACACTGGTAGCCTGTAGTGTAGGCACATACGTAGAACACCACAATGGTAAGTCACTAGGGACTCATAGGGCTACACTGCGAGATGCTTCATGTGCCTTATATGCACCTCATGGCAGCCCACATGTCTAACGGCTAGGTCTGCTTGGGGTAATACTGCGTAGGCAGAACTAGTCCGCCTAGACCAAGCGTATGCGCCATTTCTCATACTCAAAACTAAAGGGCCAGGCACACACACATGTTCCTATGGGTCTTTGGAGAAGTAGCAGTTCATATGTTTTGGCGGTAGATCTGCTGGGGGTGGGGGATTTTCTGACGTACAGTACACTCGGCTTGCATTGTATTGTCAAACACCATGTCACCTGCTCTGTTGGAGGGTAATTCATGTACGCTATATTGTACAACAGCAGCATGTCTTACTTGCTCACAGCAGCGTGTCGTGTATGTATTGGCAGTAGCAAGTCCCGTACTTGCTCTGCCGCAGCAGCAGCGTAGCAGATCTATTCCGCCAAGCCCAAACATACAACAGTGTCATACCCATTACCATGCCAATCACTCCTAAAGTTGTCATGACTAAAAATGTACAAATCTAGGGTCAGTGCTGTGTTCCCTGATCCAACAGGTTTTTGGTCTCTAATATCTTTGGTTGGTCCTACAGTGCACTCCTGTGTTTTGTTTAATCATTCTAGACCATTCTGATTGTAGATATGAATGTAAATGTTACTATAATCTGAGTTTTTGTTTAAGACGATCTGTGTTTTTATTAACAATATGTGTGCAATTCAATAGACATTTTCACTGAAAGGACAAATCATTCCACATGAAATAAGCTAAGTGTGCATGTCTTATTGTAAGAAGAAAAAAAAAAAAAGTAAAATTAGCAGGAAAATGCAAGTTAAATGACTAATCCTTGCATTCAGACTTTGTGGACTGTTTCTTCCTCTATATCCTAGGAATGGCATAGCACTCGTATGTACGGGGCATGCGGCCAAAACTGCTATTTGTAGGCGTTGTGTCGAGCTCTTCTGGTGGCACCATGGCTTTGAAGGTGAAGTGCTGAAGGAGGGAAGTGAAGAAGAGGAAGAGTTCTGTGCAAAACAGAGCCTCACCGAGACACACGCGCTTGCCTGTCAAGAGAGCACACAGAAGTTGGTTTAAAAATCTTTTTAAGAATCTTTTCCCTATGTATCATCCATTTTTGTCTGTGATTTGTTCTTTAAAGGCAACTACTGAGGAATCAATTATTTAACATGGTTATTGTTTGTCCCAGAATGACTAAAACACTGATAAACATAATTATTTAGCATGTGTTGACTTCAGTTTTTATCTAAGAGCAACATTTTTATGGTCTAATATGCTCAATGAAGATCTGAGCTCACCCATGCCGAATACAACAAATGCATCATTCTTCTTGAATCGGCCATCTCCATCCAGGAAGTTTTCTGGATCGAAACAATTTGGGTTCTTCCACAGTTTGGGGTCTATAAGCACGGAGGATAGTAGTGGAAAAACCATTGTTCCCTTCAAGAAAGTATTTTACAAATAAATAGAAAGATGTAAATAATAATTAACACATTTAATGAATCAAGATGATGTATGAGAGAAGAATACCTTAGGAATGACATAGCCATTGTATTCAGTGTCGCACATGGTCTTGTGTGGGACAGCGATGGGGGCGAGATCCATGCTGCGCTGAACCTCGTGAATTACAGCATCTGTATATGGCAGCCTCTGTCTGTCTTCAATGGAGGGCCAACGGTCCTGTCCTACAACCTCATCGATTTCTCTCTGAACACGCTCTGTACAGAACAAGTGAAAGTAAACTTGAAACACTTAATGCTTGGAGAGAGACGCATTAGTTTGACCTCACCTTGAACATCTGGGTGCTTCATCATTAGAAGTAAAGAGTGTCTGAGGGTGGATGAAGTGGTTTCTGTGCCGGCGCTGAACAAGTTCCATGCTGAAGAAACCAAGTTGTCAAAATGATATTCTGTGTCAGGCTTGTCTTTCTCCTGCAAAAGAGAACAGGTCTGAAAGTTAACATTGTGTTTAATTGACATCATGTCATGGTCTCACCACCAGATGGTACAAGTAAATGTATTCAGGACCATGCCTAAATATGTTTAAATTACCATTTCTTTCAATGATTTACCTCTTTCATTTTTAACACAAAGGCCTCAATGAAGTCCTGTGGGCAATAGGGATCCACATTATTCATCCGAGCTTGTGCCTCACGCTTGAAGTACTCTCTGGCCTCTTCTATGTCTTTAAACCCCTGATGGTGTTTACCGGGGAAAAGACTGACTAACTTAGGGAATACATTATAGAGCTGAGAAGAAAATAAAGAAACATCAAGGTGAGTCTCAAAATACAATAAATAATTTATGCAAACATGTTTTTTTTTTTTTGACTATTTTAGTTTAAAATTTGTTTAATTTTTATTTATTTAATGTGCACGACCCTTCACCTGTTTTGGGTCAGTAGGATTTTTCTCTTTTTTGAAATAAACGTATAATTGTATTCAGCAAGAATGCATTAAATTGATCAAAAGTGACAGTAAAGACATTTATAAAGTTATAAATGAATATGAATAATGAATATAAATTTCCATTTTAAATAAATGCTGTTCTTTTAAACTTTATATTGATTTAAGAATCATGAAAAACAAATGTATCACGGTGTCCAATGAAAATTCATTTTTGCATCACAGGAACAAATTATATTTGAAAATACATTAAAATAGAACAAAAAATATATTAAAAGAATTTTGAATTTTAATGATAATTCACAATATTACTGTTTTCACTGTATTTTTGATCAAATAAATGCTGCCTTTGTGAGCATAAAAGACTTCTGAACGATATCTTATATAAATCTTTAGAGTGCAAACCTGTCCAATAGGGCTACTGAGGAGACTGAAGTATGCATTTACTGTCTGAAGGAGAAACTTAAACTGTGGATCCTCAAATTCAAACCTATGACCAAAGACAATGCTGCAGATCACATTGGTCACGGCATTAGACAGCATGTCTGCAGGGCTGATTGCAGAGCCTTTAAGAAGAAAAG